AATAAAGTATTGGTATAAAAGATGCAATGGTAGATAACATATAATATAATAAAATAAAATAAAGTATTGGTATAAAAGATGCAATGGTAGATAACATATAATATAATAAAATAAAATAAAGTATTGGTATAAAAGATGCAATGGTAGATAACATATAATATAATAAAATAAAATAAAGTATTGGTATAAAAGATGCAATGGTAGATAACATATAATATAATAAAATAAAATAAAGTATTGGTATAAAAGATGCAATGGTAGGTAACAGCCTCAGCCTCCATATTTCTGATTCCCCAATGCTGAATTGGGAGGATGCAAGTCAGCTTTTACTGCAGTTCAAATGGAAGATTTTAATTAATTAAATTAATTAATTAAGAGGGCCATCACAATATCCCCATGGGCTCCCAATTGCATAGCCAGCTCTTGAGAAATTTGTGGAATATTTAGAAGGTAGAGTTAACTTCATTTCTGATGGGAGAATATTATACAAAGTGGGCACCATAGTAGACTTTTTCCTCTCTGCCAAATATAATTCCCTGCATGTCTTTTGGGTCATAGCCAGGGGTAGGCTGCTATGGGTTCGCTTGGCTTCCCATCCCTCCCCTCCCAGGAGTCTCCACATGGCCCATTTTGGATGCGAGGTAAGTGCAGGGCCCATGGAGGGGGAAAAACGGGCCCGTGGAAGTTCCTGTTTCCGGCCTCTGGAGCCCAGAGAGGCAGTTTTCATCCTCCCAGAGGTTCGAGGAAAGCCTCCGGACCAGTGGTGGGTTTCAAAANCAAAAACTTTTTATTTAAATTTGTCTCTTCAAAATCTTGATGCGTCTTATATTCCGATGCGTCTTATACTCCAAAAATATGGTATATTATACATACACATATACATATATTCAAAATTAAACTTCAAAATTAAAATCACAGTGTATGATGGGTCTTACCTTTCGTTCTTATTAACTGTCCAGCTTTTTTCTGAGTAGAGTGATCCATTTTATGCCTTCACACTAAGAGAGTATAAATCTATGATTCTCAATCTTGGCATTTTTAAGGTGTGTGACCTCAGATCCCAGAAACCTCCAGCCAGCAGGGACTTTGACTAAAGGACAAAAGGAGCATAGTACTAAAATCATGGGCAACTCTTATGCTTTTTTTGTTATTGCTGTTAACTGTTGTCTTATTAATATGACTAATTGGCATGATATTTAAAGAAAAATGAATATTAGTCTTCCATTGATAAATCAAAAGTTAAAAACAAACTAAAAAATTCTCATGATAAATGATTGAAATAAGTCCTGAGTTAAATATTTATATTGTAGGACTAATTCTATAAGTCCTAATTGTTTCTAACAATGAACCAGTTAGAGGCTTATTTTCTCCAGATGTCTCTGCACCCTCCCCTTCATAGTTCTCATCAGTAGTGTCCTGGATATGTAATGATAGGAACAGATTGATAATGAGAAACCTGAACAGAAAAACATTACAAAGGGAAGAGTGAATGAAATTTTAACTAAAGTTACTAAAGCAACAGGATTGGTCCCAAAAGCACATTGCTTAAAAAAAACAAACACAATTCTACTGTTGACATTTGAAAACATTGAATGTACTATTGCATGATGTTCATCCAGAAGTTTTTAACTCTAATTTGATGAACCCTTGATATTGGCCTGGTTTGCTCATAACTCTAATAGTGGTTTGGCTTACTCACCACTTTATGCTAAAAGTTATACAGAATAACAGAATTGGAAGATATCATGAAGGTTTCTAGTCCAACCTCTTGTTCAAGTATTAGGAGACCCTATACTATTCTGGATAAATCTCATCTTAAAAATCTCCAGCGAGCACCCACAGTTTTTGGAAGCAAGCCATTCTCAATTCACCTGTACTATTTACACCTCCTTGTCCAGATTATCTAATGCAATGAAAAATTACTGTTTTTACTCAAATTTATTGTTAAAACTTCCAAGAGAATATTTCAGGCAACATTATTTATTGCTATTATTTATTTTTGAAAAACTCCAAATGCTTTTAATGAGTCCTGGCACTACCACTAGTCTGCATTCATGATGGCAGTATTTGATAATGTCATAGTTGGTATAAATGGATTTTAATTTTTTTGGATTTTGCATCTTGTGCAAACACAATTCTGCCATGTATGTGAAAAAGTTACTACTGTTTTAATTAAGTGAATAATCAGAGTAGCATATATTTATTGCAACTCTAAAAAGCAGTGGCATCTTTTTGCATCGTCAGGCAGAAGCTTTCCTGATAAATGACTTGCATGCTTTAATGAGTAGCAGAGAAATTCGGTACTTTGTGAGGTCTGAAGGTTTTTTGAATTATTTGTATGGACGTAAGTTTGTAGAGATTTGTGCATATGTGTAAGGCTACATAAATTATGTACCCTGTTGTTCATGCACATGTGATGTTCCCAAAAATTCTCTGAAATGCAATAATAGAAGTTTGCAATAAGCATTCTCAGGTTCTACTCTCTTCCATGCAATTCTTAATTTAGAGTTACTATTTAATTTAACTTGCATGATTGTAAGTCATGAATATGGATTATCTATTTGAGCACATAAAACGTTTTAGCTGCCATGATGAAAAGAGTAGCAGTCACTCTCCTTTATTTCTCTTTACTGTGGTCCATTAATTAAATCTATTCAGGGTAGAATTTCATATTTTTACATTTAGATCTAGACATAAAATGCACACTTTTTAATTCCATTTTCAGTCTGAATATTACTGAAATGAATGTTCATTACAGAAGAATTTTGGATAACTGATAAAGACATAATCATTATGTAAATATAATTTAAGCTGATTACCTTTGCAATTACTATCTCTTAAAAATATTGAAATGAGAAGAGATATATTGAAGTTAAAGAAGAAAAAGAGTTTCAAAAACTGACATTTTTGAAATAATCTGTAGTATTACAAAAAGAGTCTTTGTCTTTTATACGAGGTTATAGTGCCCATATCAGCAATAAAAAATGGGATATGCTATTTTGTACATTTGCTGCCCAACGGATTTATTTTAAAATTAATATTGAGCTAGCTGTCTTGTTATTCTGTTGGTTTATTCAATTATTCAGAGACAATTTTGAATGAAAATGATATTTTTTTTGCTTAAAATATAACGTGATTCAACATCTAAGAAAAAGGTACCAGTACTCAGTTTTTTTCCAATACAATTCCTTCCTTCCTCTCTTCCTTCATGAGTACCATAAGATAGACCAGGAACATTAAGAATCAATTTCTGCCGATGAAATTAAAGAATGACAGTGTTGACTCCAAGTCTGTTATCTCTAATAACAGACTTAGGTTATACCAAATTTATGAGCCAAATAACACAATTATTTAAATTATGCAAAGTTTATTTCTAGTTAGTTATTTGGTTCTCTGCTTTCAGAAGAACCTTTCATAAAGAAGTAATTATTTTAGAATATTTTATCCAAGTTTGGAAATTACTCCTTTTTGTTGCTTAGGTATCAGTGCTCCCATTTACCAATATTTTAATTTATTTATAGACCAATATTTTATGATTATGCATTGCACATTTTCTATATAACCTAATATGAGCTGTTTCTACTCATATTCCATTGGGCTGTGACAATCACTATTCATGAAAATGTTTGAAATACAACTGTTCTGTGCTAACTCAGATTAGGCATTAGCCCAACCATGCAGTGAATGTGGCTATGTATAACAACTAGCCTGTCTAATTTCAGCCTGCCATTAGGTGAATAATTGCCTCATTATGGGGAGAAAATCTATTCTTCAGTCAACTGAACAACTAGATTGCATAGCTAGTTCTGATGTCAATTGAACTTGTTATATAAGAAAAGCAATCCTGGGTGAGACCAAAAGGATAATCCAGCAAACTATTTGTAACATGATCCGGCCTGTGCTTTTAGAAAACAAATTTGACAAACCTTTCATCATTTGTCCTTCAAAAACAGGTGTTCATAATATACATAAAATAATTTACTGACTTATTATGGGCATCTGCTACTAAACAGAACTTTATTTTGCATAGTAAAACACACACACATGAACATCTGATGCATGACTGGGTTTATGCATCAAACTCATAGTATGATTTTTTTGTTTGTTTAAAATGTTGCACTGGCACACCTATAAATATTGATAAATCATGGGCCCAGTTTGATGTGTGAACTGCCAATTGTGTAGTTAACTGTAGTTAACCAGAGAATTCTCTTTAATAATACATCCTTCTATTTCTATCCATTGACCATTTGATTAAATCCAGATTAAATTAATATGTTTCAAGGTAAAGTTCTACATCAGAATTTCATAAGAAAAAAATTATAAAAATGGAAATGGTGCTCTGCTTGTCTATATAACTTTATTACCATATTTAGTATAGTTTTATATTGAAACTTACTGTTTTCTGTGTTTTGTCATAAAAAAGTTATGTTGTTTTAGCATGCATATTAGCAGTTCTTCTGTGTACAAAGTGATTCTTTGAGATTTACTGCCATTTCTCAGGGTCCAACTTTTATACAAAGGCTTTAAAGGTAGATCAGCTTTAGCATGGACAAAGAAATCATAAGCTGGCAGTCTGTTTTGAAAATGCTATTTTGTTAATAAAAGTGCCATATAAAGTTTGATTTTGTGACAATCATATATTAGTTGAAACAGTTTATTATCTTCTGGATTGTATTCTTTGAGTAATAGGTGGGATACATATATTTTACATGTTTGACAGTTTATAAAAATTTGTTCGGCTTTTGTTCACTTAATGATAGCAAATGTCAAAACAGCATTTGCTGTGCTAAGCATAAGCAGAGCAGTGAACAAATCTGTTCAATTTACAGTTTGAAATATCTTTCAATTATTTTATGCCTGGAACTGATAAAGTAACTCCATTAAATAGTTTGGCTGTTATTGCTTTATGAATAAAACTATAATAGAGGTATTTATCATCTGAAAATTAGTATTTCTTTTTTGACTCATCTCTCTGCCTTTATTCTTTCATGATTTAGATGTTGACACATTCATATCAAATATCCTAAAAGGTGAAAATTTATCCAAAAGAGCAAAGGAAAAAAAGGATGTCCTGGTTAAGAAGATGAAAGACATCAAGTCCAAGTAAGTAATTATGCTTGTGTAAAATACATTTGTGTAAAAGTATATAAGTTTGCAACCAATCTGTCCAATAGGCTATCCTTATTAGTGTTTTTTTTAAAAAAATGAATACGTTAATAAATAGTCTAGCATAAATTAAATCCTTTTTTGTTTGTTTGTTTATTTGGGTTTATATACCATGATATTCTCATTTCGTGTTCCAAACAAAGGAGAAGGGAAACTCAAGCTCCTGTCATCAGATTGCTCTTCTCTAATAGGTAACAGTAGAAATATAGCTACAGGTAGTCCACCCTTAATGTCCATTGTTTAACAACCATTCAAAGCTATGATGGCACTGAATGAAGGGACTAACAACCAGTCTTTGAAGTTCTGGTCATTTCAGTGGTCACATGAACTAAATTCAAGGGTTTGGCAACCATTTTGTACTTATGGCCAGTTGGTGTGTCCTGTAGTCCTGTCACAATTTGCCATTTGTGATCTTCCCTGCCAGCTTCACACAAACAAGGTTAATAAGGAAGCTGGCAGGGAAGATCATAAGTCTCTTGGGTAAGTCTCCCCCCCCCCCCAATTCTTCACTTTTGTCCTTTGCTTGCATGCACTGTGCTCTCCCCATGCACTACAACCTCCTTTGCCACTTTGTATACATCGCCTCATCTTCCTCCGTTTCGTTCAGTATCGTCCTTCCCTCGTTTGCCTGAATGCACTGTGCCTTCCTTCCTCTTTTGCCTGCCTCCCTCTTTTTTTTACTTACACCCAGAATACCTTCCACCACCACTCCTTACTCGTATGCAGTATGCCCTCCTTTTCCCTGGCCTTTCTGCATATATGCCACTCTGCAGCAGCAGCAGCTCCATCTGCCAACATGGATGTAGTCTGTACTTAGCCTTCTCAGACCTCCCTCATCCCTGATCAACACCCCTGCATTCCTTACTTGAGATTTTCACTGCTTCCCGTTTAACAATATGCACATCTTGACGTTATGGTATCCATGACTGTCTGGATTGCTCCCAATAAGTGATGCAGCCCCATGATATGACACTTTGTAACTATATTACTTTGCAGGGGTCATCCTTGTCCAGATTGCCATGGTTATTTGAGGCCTATTCATTTCAGATTAGTCACTTTTTACTTTTCCATGTAAACTTGGAAAAAACATTTGCTTTCATTTGTGAGAAATAGGGATGGCTAGTGCTTCAAACACTTAAGAATCTTTCATAACATGTGAGGCATCTTTCTACACTGATGCACTTGGGAAGGGTTTTTTTCATGCAGCCTATGATACCGACCACTGGTTAATGGAGATGGGCAGATGTATGGCAAAAGCATTCAGCAAACATATGTTAGAGGTCTTAATCAATGACTGCCATCTAAGATTGGGCAAGTATAAAGCAGCTATCAATATGCATAAGGATCATTGTCTATCACAACTTGAAGAAAAACTTGTCATCCACATAGGGAATATTATTAAGATGCTTGTAAAAGAAAGATAGGTAATAAAAAGGAAAAAAATTGGGGGATAAAATTCAAAAGTTAAAACCATGCTCCTAAATCTGTAGGAACTTGATCCATGATTTATGGAACAAACGATTAAGCTAGCAGGAATGAGATTCCTGCTAGCTTGAATATTATCGCAATAGCATTTAAACTTATATACTGCTTCATAGTGCCTTAGCGGTACTCTCTAAGTAGTTTACATAATTAGCATATTACCTGCAACAATCTGGGTGCTTATTTTTCTGAGTTTGGAAGGATGGAAGGATGAAGCAACCTTGAGCTGTCAGAATCAAACTCCTGGCAGTGAGCAGTAAGTTAGCCTGCAATACTGCTTTCTAACCACTGTATCACCATGGCTCTTAACAGATTAAAAGGATCATTAACTTTCTTCCCCTTTGGCTTTTTTTCTTTTCTGTTTTGCTTGGAGTTGGCTGCAGTTCTGGCAGGTTGTGTATACTTCATGGATTTTGGAATGAAGTGATGTAATGATGGCTTTTATTAGATGTCAGAAAAATAACTTCAGACATTGTTAGCAAGACAGGTTTCTAAAAGTGTAGCTTACGAATAATGTTCTGTAATTCAGTCAAGTGAATCTGTCAAGAACCCTGACAATCCAGTACAGGATTGAATAGAATCATAGATTTGGACAGAATCCTTTAGGCCATCAAGCCCAACACCCTATTTAGGTTAGGAATCTCAGTTAAATTTCAAAGGAATCTCTGACTGGCAGTTGTCTACTTTATGAATTGATGCTCAAAACAGTCTAGGTAATTAGTTTATTGTTCATCTATAATTGTTGGGATTGTTGTAATTTCATAATATTTGGTATCTAGTCTTGTTCTTCTTGTGACCAATATTTACAGAAGCATTTGATACATCTGGAAATGGTGCCTTCCTTATCAGAAATTAGCAAAATTAGAATTCTTGCTACATCCATTCTAGGGTTACTATTTACCTAGCTATATAAATCCTAGGATGAACCATTATTTCTTTCAAAATGAGGCATTGCAAAAGAGCAAAGCAATATTTCTTTGGACTTTGTGAAAGTAGATATACTTTTGAAAGAAACTTGATGTGTGCTGAAAACCTTTATCTATGTCTCGCTATTCTTGTCAGACACATGGTTGATCCATGTCATACTTGTTTACAATATTATATCTGACTGTTGTGTTGTTGTGGTTGTCTGGAAAAGTGACTAAATAGATAAAGCAATATAAGAGGTTGTTGTCATGATAGATATGATTTGTCACTGATAGCTTGGTATTTTGCCAGCAAAACTTTCTTTCCTATCAAGAATAATGCTTACCTCGGATAATTTGCAACTATCAATATATCGTTTAACACTGATAAATTGTTTATTCTGTCCGAAGTTTTAATACCAGAGCCAGACTTGAGGAATATAACAAAATGTACCAAATGGTACTAGAATATTTGTGTGGTGTGGCTGGCTTATAGTAATGATAGCATCAGGTTCTAGCCTAGGGATGCTTAGCACAATAAAAGTGCAGCATGTATCCCTTAGGTTTTGCTCTTCTGTCCTGGTGATGCTTATGGATACAATTTGTTGTCCGTTGTTGTTTATTTAATTAATTTATAACAAGTGGAATGAGCATCTCTAGGCATGTGTAATACATTAAAAAAGTAGAAAAAGTTAATACCGTGTTTTCCCGAAAATAAGAGAGAGTCTTATTTTCTTTTGATCCTTGAAATAAGTGCTTGGCCTTATTTTTGGGGAGGTCTTATTATTTTTGAGGTCCAGGAGGTGGCAAGCGTGGTCACCTCATGGCTGCTGTTGTGTTGCAGTATTTTTGGAAAGGGCTTATTTTTTGGGGAGGGCTTATTTTTTTGGGAGGGCTTATTTTAGTGCATGTGCTCAAAAGCTCAGTTGGTCTTATTATCCAGGGAGGTCTTATTTTCAGGAAAATAGGGTATTTGCTATTATTAAATAATAGCAGGGCAAGAACCATTGAATACCATGAAATAATATCCCCCTATTAATTCAGATTCAAAATCATCCTCATCGTCAGAATGATTCTAGATGTTGTGTGTTTCTTTTTCTGTCTTAACATTGTATTCAGCAATATTCTTACAGGTGTATCCTTATGTTGTCCAGTAAGATATTATTTATCAGATTTAACTTACTGTAATTGCTTTCCTGTTGCTCAACTTATATAAGCATTATCTTTATCTTTTTTAACCATATTGTGAATTTTTCGGAGTAGTGATGATTTTTTTTCTGTTTTCCATATTAACATATTAATGTTTTCAATTCCAGCTTAGGTGCAGTATAATACAATCATTAGTTCTTCATTACTAATATGCAATTATTAATATCATGGAACCTTAGATCATATTTTTGAGGTAGTGATGCTCAAAGTGCCTTTCAATAATTAGTTGTGGGCTATCATTTTATTAACCTGGAAAAACATGCACCGTTGTTTAGATTTGCACACATTTACTGTATCCTTTTTCCCACTCTCTCTTTTTCCTTTCCTGCAGCTACCCACAAGAATTTCCCGAAATAGGTAAGAGTATATTTTTTCATTTGCATGTGCCTTAAATATTTTTTATTACTACTGAGCTTTCAAACTGATCTTAAGTACATTCAATCACCTTTTGAAAATTCAGACTATGCACATATGATATGGTTGAGTATGCTGGCTCCCCCTACTGGAAAAAGCATGGAAGGTTCTCCATTTCCTTTTTAAAAAATACACATTTTTCTGCTTTTATAAAACAAAAGGGCACACTAACCAAGAACTAAAAATTGAGAGGGAACAAAACTATTTCAAATGAAATATCATTGCATTGGCATCAACATTAAAATGCTTTCTAATATGAATTCTAAATTTAATGAAAGTGTTTATTCTCGACTTTGCTTGTTATTATGCTCTACTTATTCCTATTTTGGAAAAAAAATTCAAAGAAGTCTCTTATAACAATTGATCATTCCTTTGCTGGATAAATACAGTAGAATCCTTATGTCATGATATTGCCCATTTACAGAGATAATAGAAGCAGGGATATTGTACTTCTATTGGTGAATTTTCCAAGACATTTTACAAATCTGATTTTGACCAAGCAAAAGAAATATTCTGCTTCTAGATGTTAATTTTAGTTTCCTTTTTTAATCTGTTCCTTAACATGTTTCTTTTGGGTTTTTTTGGCCTATGATTGCAAGTTTAAAAAAACAGACAAAATGAAAGCATCAGCTTAAGATATGTCAAAAATATAAATGAACTCTTTGGTCAAATAGTAGAAGCAAATTGTAGCAAATAACGTGAATATTTTCTCCAAAAAGAAGCTTGGCAACAACAACTTGCTTTCACATTTGCAGAAATCATAGTTTTATTTTAGCAGTTTAAAGATTCAGGACAAGAATGGGAAGCTGAAATGTGGTTTGCATCTTCTAATGGATTTCTTGAAACAGACCTTATAATCTCATTAAAAATAGCCTGGTACAGTGGTCTGTTTTGAAGCTGAACCTGAGATGGCCCTTATTTTCATGATGCTAATTCATGAGGTCATGACCTGCAGCCTGTGAATGCTGGTATAAGGGTCACAGCATGAGGTCAAGAAATCATCTGTGGAACTACAGGGGATTTCCCCCCCCCCCCCCACTAGTAGGGCAACAGCCAGAAAGAGTAACATTTACTTATTTC